TCAGGGACACCCACGGGCCTCAAATTGCTACAAATGCCATGCTGACTCAGTCCTCACACCCAGGCTGCTCTCTGCCAGGAAAATCCTTATCATAGGGTTGTTTTCTGGCTTCTCCTCCCACTAGAACCTGGCACTGCCTCTTCCAGGAAGGCTTCCCAGCATGTTTTGTAGGCTTCCACTGTACTTAGTGCGCCCTCTTCCTAGAACTGAGACGTGCTGGAGTCTCTTCACTATATTTTGCACACAGTGCTTGAGTACAAGCAGCACAGCTTAAGGCCTGAAGTTCAAATCTCAGGCTGTCTTTTTACTAGCTGTGTGATCCTTTAGGTAACAGCTTCCTGGGACCTGGTCTTCATGCCTAAGCCCTTAGGCTATGATAGGTACTAAGCGAAGGACAGCTGTTATCACTTATCCTCCATGCATGGTTAGAGGTACAGACAGGTTACCCTAGAATGCTAGCAAGGATGGACGGGCAGATGGTCAAGAGACAAAGCAAATTTAACAATATGTTCACTGGAGGAATCACAGAGCAGGCACGGGAGTACTCATGACTCCGTCAGCTCTTCTTATGTTTAAATTTTTTCACTACAAAATGTTGGGGAGAGCTAGACTACTCATGCTGACATGACTCTGCAAATTAAGGAAACATGGAATGAGCTGTGCTGCTCATTAGGGTTTCTGGAGGTTCAAGGTCCATCCAGATGGCCCCACAGGATTCTGTGGCCCCAGGCAGGCCCACTGTTGTCCTGGAAGGATGGCCACATGTGCTGTGGACAGATAAGACTGAGCCACAGGTCCTGGTGTGAGTCTGTATGGTATCCACACCTTTCTCCTCTCCTACACCTGTCCACTCTTGGCCTCCTACTCCTGGCTGCTGTGGTCTGGCGTAGTGTTTACCCTGTCACTGGGCTGCTTTGCAAGTAGCAGTGTGCACACAAGGCTCCCTCTGGGGCAGTCTGTTCAGGGAGTTTGCAGTTCTAACGAAATTTCATTCTGCCTTTGCTGCTGGGCACAGATTACCCTGGGTGTAGTGAGGCCAGGGTCAGAGGTTCTCTGTGCTGGTGGCCCCTGAAAACCACCTAAGAGGAATTTAAAACCATCATGCCTCCCCGTGCCCCCAAATCTAATCAGAATCTCTAAAGCTGGACCCAGGGATCAGTGGCTTTTTAGGGTCTCCAGAAACAGCCCCGGCTGAGAACCACACCCCATCTTGTATCCAGCATCTCTCCTCTGAGCTGACAGCACCATCAACACTCACACTCCAGGAAAAGCCTCAGGACTGTGTACCAGGACCACTGGTGACACGCAGGTGGCAACATGCACAGCCCCACCAGCCTGCAGGCACACCAGGCCTCCTCTTCCCTGGGGAGAAGCCACTGCCCGTGCCCAGCACCAAGGCTACTGCTAATCACCATCACCAGCTGAAGGGTGCAAGGCAGAGGCGGAAACCAAGCTGCCTGTGTCCTGGCACCAGAAGGTCTCACTGTCACAGTCACTTGCCAGGCAGGGTACCTATATCTTCCCCCACCACAAAAGGGCTGACAAAGCTGGACAAAAACCTCCAGTTCTGAACTCTGAAGTTTGTTTGTCTTCTATTCTATTATTTTATGATTACTTTATTAAATGATATATTCATTTATAAATTTATAAATTATTATAAATATATTCATTTATAAATATTCATTTATATTTGGAAATCATAAATACCCAATCTGTTATTTTATGATTTTTTTTGTTTCTCTTTCACTATGATGCTTCAGGAAGAGGCAGATACTCAGGCTGGGAAGGACACAGAGCCCTTGAGAGCTGGCCTTGCTCAGCAGATAAACTGCAGCCAAAGTCCTGGGGGCTTTTAGGAGCCCTGGTCTCGCCCCTTTCACGTGAGCTGTGTGATCAGATGGAGCACAGGATGGTAACCAGTCAGAGCTGTTTTGGGAGGAGGGCTTCGGTGACCTGAGTGAAAACCTGGGGAAAATCAATGTAAAGTCAGAAGTGTGAGCAATCTAGCCTCAGCTTCCGCGGCTGCTAGGCCCTCTGCCCCAGGGGGCTGTGGCCCTCCCGCTGCCTCCAGTGATGCAGGGGTGGGAGGCAGGCAGCTTTAGGTCAAAATCGCATTAGTACCATCGAGGCCACTGAATTCTGAGCAAAGGCACAGACTCGAGGAAGGAATCGCGTTGAGGCTGATAAGGGCTTACCTCCAGCCTCTCCACAGTGATAAAATTAAATACTCAAGGCTTTGGCTGATACCAAGAGATGATTCTGCTCAGCTGCCCTATGCCTTTGATGTCCATGGGCATCTCCCGGACTAAAGCAGAGAGCTGGAAGCAGGCGGGTCAGCAGCAGTTCTAACACGGAGGCAAGGTCCTCTGCAGCTGGGGGCCCAGCCGCATCCTAGACTCCGCCAGGGCTCAACGTTTTCCCCACACAAACTCGGACAGCAGAAACAGGTGCTGTGAAATCCATCGCTCACCCCCGAACAGCACCGATGGCTCTAGCCCCCTGGGAGGTGTCCACGCCAGTCCGTAAGTGGGACAGAGAAATGCCAGCAAAAGACAAGCAATAAACTCTGTTCTGCTGCCAGGAAGGCTGCTGACAGGGAGAAAGAACTGCTCACAGTCGAAATCCTTGAAAAAGCTAAGTGGGGAGGGCTGCAAATACCCTGCCAGAAAGCCAGGCCTGCACTCTCAGACAGGTGGCCCACCTGTGGACTCTTTGTCTCTCTAGGACCCTGAACTGCAGGCAGGACAAGGCAGGGAAGAGGCTTGAAATTCCAGGGAGACAAAGCACTAGATGAAAGTCTCTTGATTGCAACCCGAGAACTATTTAAAAAAGGCAACAGGGAAATCTAACCACCTCTGCAGGAAAAAGATTCCCTTGACCTAACAGGTGCCCAGAAGGCAGTTCCCGGGCCTGCCTGGCATCTGTCCTAGCACAGTGCCTGCTGTGGCCCCCTGCCACACCCATCCCAGCCTGCGTGACTCAGAGAGGCTGACTGTACCAACTCAGGGGCATTGTGCCCCTCTGTCCAAGCGGGGCACAGAGCCAGAGAGCCTGGCCCAGGGGCCGTGTTGGAACTGCAGGCCCCAGGTTGAGTGATCTTAAACCTATAGCAACGGGGGGCCCAACTTTTATGAGCAAGAAAAGTCCAAAAGAACGAGCCTAGGGGAGGCAGGGGCAGATCACCGTTCACGTCATCCAGCACTAGACCCACTGTGCTTGAAACTCAGGGCTTTTCTGGTTATGGAGTCATGAATTTCATTTTGAACTTGAGCCCATCTGGGAAAGCTTTCTGTCACATACTGAAAAAGACTGTGATGTATGTTTTCTTTCCCCTTTATAATACCTGTTTTGATTCATTCCTCATCAGCAAAGTTTGCATCATCTTACATAGTATGTATATGAATATGGACCAAACAGTCTGGCAATTGTCCCTGAGAAGGACCCCAGGGAAGGACAGCAGGCCAGTGCCCCCTCTCTTCACTCTGAGCCTGGGTCCCTGATGCAGAACTCAGCCACGGTATGGCTCTCAGTGGGAGGAATCCAGGCGTAGCTCGAGGACCACCCCTGAGTTCAGCTGAGACCTTCCAAAGGCTGTGGTGCCTATGGGAAGACCTCGGCCCTAGCAGCCTCCTTGGGCACAGGCTGGGGGCTGCCTGATAGCTTAAGGTCCCTCTTAAACAGATGGAAACATAGGCTGGGGTGAAGGCTAAGCTGACCCAAGTCTTCCTGAAAACACTGAGGCAGGCCGAAGGCTGCAGTGTGGACTATATGTGTTCACCTCCAGATACCCCGCCTTTTAATGGACATCAGAACAACCTGGGCCACTTTGATACTTTGAGAGCAAAGAAGACCAAAGCCTGCAAAGGCAGACTGCAAGGTGTGATGAACTAGGCCTGGACCCTACACTTGTTCTGCCTCCAACCTGAGTCCCCTTCTGATCCTCTCAGGCTTAACTCTGTCATCTGTTGAGGATGATGCCACTGAAACATGGCATTAACAGCTAGGCCTTCTACTGTTCTGCCAGGACAGTTGCTAAAGCTCATTTACATCTGCAATCAGTTTGTGCTTATCACCATCCTGAGAGCGTGCCCGCTTTATGTGGTTTGCTACAGGTCTGGGTTAGGTCTGGCTGGCTCTGCCCCTCACCAGCCTGTAGCCTGCAAGACAGGCCTTTCTCTCACTTGTACAAGGTCACTTTAGAATGACCCAGAGCAGAGCCCAGCTGCTAAGTACTTAGCTCCAGGCTTAGCAGGCAGCATGAGCTCCATAATGTTGAGTTTTGTCATCATGCTTGCAAGAAGACACCTGGGCCTTTGGTGGTAGCAGCATTGCTGAGAATGAAAGCTGCTGGGAATAAGAGGCATCCCCTCAATCGAAGACCGATGGCCAACGGGGGGCAAGGAGGGACCACATCAATGTAGAGAGTAGTTCTGCTTGGGGTCCCCACATCCTCTGCCTCCTCAGCAGGCACTGCTCTGGGTGCTCTGTGAGGTTTCTATCTGGGCTGCATAGGTTGAATTCAAGTCAACATTTTGATAAACAAATCCAGGTGTCCAAGAGTTCTATGCTGAGCTCATGGCACAGATGCACTGTTTCAAGGTCAAGCACACGTGGAGAGGGAGGAATGGGGCTTCAGTGTCCTGAGATTTGAAGCAACAACACCACAGGCAGATGAACTCGGGCCTCCTGGGTCTTTGCTCTCTAGCTCTGTAACTTCTCTAAGTTTGTTCCTCTGTAAACGGTGTATCTAATCCATCACACAGACATGGGCAAAGCTCTTAAATGGTGACCACGACACAGCAACACTGAACAAGAGTGCGAGGCTCAGCTGTCACCTGCACGGTGATCCGAGTGAATCCTTGATCTTTTTTCCCCCAGTGAGGGCCCTGGACTCCTCACCTGGCCATGCCATGCCAAGGGCCACTCTGCTTGTTGCAAAGCCACAAGGATGCCTCAAAGGCTATAGTGTCCTCAAGGTGGACAGGGCACAGGGTCCTTACCTATAGGTCGCCACCTCCAGACTGAGGCCCGTCTTCACCTGCACAAGCTCCTGATAATCCCGCAGCCGCTCAGCCATGGCCAAGGTGAGGGCCTCCTTCTCATCCTCCAGGCAGCTGATCAGCCTCTAGAGAGAACAGAAGCACTTTGAGATCCAAGAACTGGAGCATTGCGGGGGTCCAGAGGAAGGTATCAATACTGCAGGACCTAAAAAGGCGTGAAAACCTTCCAGGTTTGTTATTAAACACGCAGTGATTTGCAAGGATGGCTTGAAAGATTGTATCTCCTCCTCATGGGAGATATTTTTACTGTACATGAAGGATTTGGACAGGACTCTTGCTTCTCTGGACTTTGTAGTAATAACAAATTTAAGGAGTTTGTTCAAATCAGCTCTACAGTTTGGACCTTGGTCCACACAAGGAAATTCAGTGTATTCAACTGGTCGACGAGATGCTATGGAAAATAAACCATAGGGGCTGGGGATTTAGCTCAGCGGCATAAGCGCCTGCCTTGCAAGCAGGCAGTCGTGAGTTCGATCCCTGGTACCAATAAAAATGAAAAAGACAAAAAGAAAGAAAGAAAATAAACCATGACCACAAATTCAGGGTGTTTTACAATACTGAAGACAAAACTCACTGAGAATTGAACTAAAACTGCTCCCAAAGTCCTGAGTTCCCCGGTAATAAGCAAAGTAAATGGGTACGCAGAAAAGCTACTTTAAAATCATCTCGGGAGAAATACATGCTGGGTACAAATGAAAAAATTCAAACTTGGACAGAAAGCTTTTCACATTGCATAACACAGTTAACAAACATCCCGTCTACCCCTTCCCAGCTCTCACACCAATTAATTTCCTCTGCCTTCCCAGCTTCCCCTGGCTGGAGGACACCGCTGCCCCCTGCATCCAGCTTCCAGACAGCAGCCCCAGGTACCAGCCACGCAGCACGTCCCTGGAAAACTGAATTTAAAATGAAGTGGTCATGCTTGTGTACTATTTTAAGCTGACAATACTTTTTAATTTACACACACGAAGGCTTTATTTGTACATTTTACAGTTTGTGTTTTCTTTCTACTTGTTAACTAGTCACTCTGGGAAACAGTTAACCATGCAAATATTTAAACCCTGAAATAAGTCCTAATCCTTGTACTTCCGGTGAGTAACAGGGAAGTATCAGTATCTTTGACCACTATGAACTACATTAGGCCACACTTACAAACACATATCATTGGAGAATTTAAACATTGTCAGATTACTGAGAAGGGAAATATGTTTTCTTGGTGCTGGAATCTGGCCAGCAGAAGCACCTCACAAGAACCTGAGGGTTCTGTCATGTCTGTAGAAGAAATGACCTTAATGGAGACCTCGCCTGGGATTTATTACTTTAAATGCATAATCATTACGCAAACTGTTCTGCTTTTTATAACAGCTCCATTCTGAGCCAGTGATTGTGTTAGGGCCTCTTTGTACATAAAGGGTGCTAAAGACATAAAAGCCTATTTTAAAGCAAAGAAGTAAGTTTAGGAACCACTGACTGCCCCCAAAGCAGGCATGAATAGCAGGTAAAATAGTTCCCCAAAGCAGAGCACCTGCAAGCGTGGATTTAAGTGACAGAGACTCGGTTACAGCACTGACACATTCTATAATTAAGTCTTGGTGTTAAAATCCCATGTTCTCTTCTTTTAAATTCAATAAAAGGTTAGAAATATATATGTAAATATACCTAATTATATATAGCTTATATTACATAACTTTTATATATGTAAATATAATTTAGAATATAGAAAATTCAGTCTAAGCTTTAAAACTTGAAAAATCTGTAATTCATTCTTCACAAATAAGTTCAAGTGCTGCTAAACCACTTAGTAAAAATATTGCATGAACTTGTTATCCACCCACAGGTACAGATTTCTCAGCCGAGCCCAAGGTTAGGCATGGAGGTCCTCTGCCCCCACCAAGGACACAGAACAGCTCTGTGTGCCACAGAATATCAAGAGGAAACCAAAACTTTCCTGATAGTGAAGAAGGAAAGTTTCAAACACATTTCCATGTGACTCAGCTCTTCCTCAACTGTCAAAGGAAAAATCCGTTGACTCTGGGAAGCGTGAACGCAGGAACATAAAACCCATTGGTTCCTGCCAGGCTCCACAGAAAACACAGCCAATTCGGGTGATCACGTGACGTTTTGGACGGTTGAACTCAGGACTCTGATCCAAACCTGCTCTTCTGCACCACTGCCTTTAGCACAAAGCATCACCTCGGAGCCCCCAGGCCTCGTCTCCAATGAATCCATCAGCAAACTCTTTTGGCTTCACCAATTAAGCAGGTCCCTTTTCAGTCCCTCACTTCTACCCTTGGCCCAGGCCTCCAGTGCCTCTCGCCTTGATTATTCCAGGAGTTTCCTCCCCAGGCCTCCTGCCCCCATGCTTGTCCAACAGTCCACAGTCCACTGCAGTGACAGATTCCATTAAGATGCTCCCCTCTGCTCAAGACTCTCCCAAGGCTTCGTGTGGCACTCAGAGCCAAAGCCCAAGTCCTACGGCAGGCGTTCTCACCCCGCTTCCTCTCCCTCATCCTGACTTCCAGGCTGTCCCCCAACACCAGGCACTGTTGCCACCTGAAGACCTCTGACACCAAGGGACTTCTATGTTGCAGTTTGTGCTTTTCCCTAAGCCAAGCTTGCACACTAAGTGCTCTACAATGTTAGCTGGGTGAATGAACTGAACAGACATGGGCTGGGAGCCACTTCCACCATCCCTGCTTCACAATGGGGAGACTGAGTCATAGGCGAGTTAAGGAACTTGACCTGCCCATTATAAGCAGCAGAGTCCCAGTCCTGGCCCAGGTTGGGTGGCTGTTAGAGGGCCGAACCTTAGCCGTTTCCCTGCCGATCACTGTTCTTTTGATCACGTTTTCAGGGCTGGGAAGCTGTTCACACACGGCTCATGGTTAAGAGCTCACTTTCACAAGAAAAACCTCATGTTCCTGGGCATGTAGTGTACCCTCTGTAATGCCAGCACTCCGCGAGGCTGAGGCAGGAGGATTGCAAGTTTAATTTAGAATGACCCTGCCTCAAAAGAGAGGGACGGAAGAGAGAAAGGAAAGTTTCAATGTTTTTAGGAAACACTGGTACAAATGTCTTTAGGTTTCTTTTTTTTTTCTACTGTCCTTTCCTGCAGACTGGGTGTGCTTTTCGGACTTAAGGGACCTAAATCACATATTAAATGTAGGACTTTAATGTTCATGCAGCGAACATCTCTGGCAAACTTGCAGCACGGGGCAGGAGAGGAGGTGCACAGCCATGTGGGAAGGACCACTTGTTTCAGGAGCCTCGGGCTGCAAAAGAGGCCAGGGAGGCACCGGGCACTGTGAGACGCCATCTCTCTCCTCTGCCTATAGTGGCTGCTCCCGTCTCCAGGTTGGCGGAGTGGGGGAGGGGTCCCCATTAAACCATGTAGGATAAAAGTAAATGGGAAAGACTTCATTTAGAACTGTGCTGATGGTGGCCAGCTGCAAAGGGGTAAAGGCATCACAGACTCTTAAGATAAGGAGGAAGCTCTAGGCTGGTGGTTAGGAGAAGCAATTGTCATTGTCTGGGAGTAGAAGAGGACTAGTTAAAAGCTTCTCTTGGACAGAGCAGACAGAAGAGAGGAAATGGGCCCAGGGATCAGTGGCTGGAGCACTGGAACAAGGAGGGACCCTGGTCTAGCGCTTTCAGACGAGGTGATCACTGTATATAAAACTGGGCTACTGAGCACATGAAGGGCTGGGTACCTGTGTCAGTGACAGCTGGCACACAGACAGTGCTGGGTAAAGTCTGTGAGTAACAAATGCTGATTATGGGAAATCACACTAGGCTTAAGGGTACTTTCTGTCTCCCTGATATCTCTGGAAAAAAAGATGCTTAGGGTTAGACCATCAAGCCTTACCCAATATAGTTCTGAGCACTTTTAGGATTGGTGTTGAACCTTTCAGGATGCAGTTTAAAAATTGATGGTTTTAAGCTAAAGATCCACACTACAGACAAGGTCGAGGAGCATCCAATAGAACAAAATCCCCGCGAATCGGACCTGAAAATAATCCACATCCTTATGAACCCTGCCCTTGCTCTCTACTTTTAGGCGAAAGAAGCACATTCCAACAAGGCAGAGTGCCACTGGATGGGAATCGGGTCACGGCCCTACCCAGTCAGATGCAACCTCCACTGAGCCCCTTCCGAGCGTGAGTGGTCCGGCCCTTTGTACTGAGGACGGGCAGGCCAGTAGTTCGAACTCCACTCCCAAGTCCTGACCTTATCCTCCAGTCAGGGTGCCTCTGCTCTGAGCTGCCCCAAAGTTGGGGTTCCACTGAAAACTACATCAGAGGGATAAGGATTTTACTGCCAAAATGAACATCAAATTCAGAGCTTCGAGGTCTGAAACACGCCAAGTAAGCTAAGAGATTAAGACAATAAAAGACTGCAGACAGCACCCCAGAACCCCCTCAACCATCATCCCTCTACGGTTTCTCACCTGGTCTACAGCTCTGTGAATACTGAAATATTAGCACAGTGCTGAGGACTCAGAGACCATCAGCACGGCCTTGGTGATTATGTGTGGCCACCTGTCATATCACTGATCACCCCTCACCCAGGCCCTCACCCCTTCACCTCTCTTCAAACATTGCACACAAATACTCTATCATGACGCTTCGGCTCACAGCTGCAAACTGTTGTCTTAAAATCTTTCTGACACTGTGCCTGTGTTGTTTCAAATTGTCACTCTGAGAACTCCTGATGGTGTGACTGGGGACTGTTTTCAGTTCTGGCTGAGGCTGGGCGGGGCAGGGGTAGAACACGAGCACTGGACTGGGTGGTGGGCGCAGGTGTCAGCGACGAGGAGGTTGCGTCTCTGAAATAGGAACTGTTTGTATCAGTCCGTGCTTGTAATAACATCCTGCCACGGGGACCTGCTCTCCCTCACTTTTACACTACCCAGAGATCTGACGTCAGCTCGTTCTGTGTGCAAAATAGCTCTGATTCTTTTCTGCGTTATGGTTGGTTTCCCTGGGCTCAGGGAAGAGGGGAGCCCATGCAGCCATGACGGGCTGCCTCCAGCTGGGAAAACATTCTGTCAAAATAAAGCCCAAATTGGAAACTAGCTTCAGATCGGGCGCCCTATGCGTGTGGACCTGAGATTTCCAGATTTAACCGAGTGGAAATGCGCTATCTCTTCTGGAAGTCAGACAGGTTTGTTGGTCGACTTTTGGGTCTGTCTACAGAAGCACGCGAACCTGAAAGAAGAGCCTGGGCTAACAGGATGGCTTGTCAGGATGTGTTCCCTCACGTCAAGATCTAAAGTTAACCTAACCAGGTGGCAGGCACTGGGCTATCCATTAGGACCTGTCTGTCCCGAGAGCTGAAAGGGAACAGTGGATCATGCCCTCCCTTGGCTGGAGAAATGCCAGGATCCTGTGGTCCCATCACACAACTAAGCGGCTCTCAGCCCAGGTTTCTAGGTTTTTCTGGGAGAGCTTTGTGCATCCTCGACGCCACACCCCGGGTGAATTTACAGCAGATCCCAAGAACCTTGGCACTTCCCCACACCCACCGAAGGCAGGGTGCTGGGCGGGGGTGGAGGTGGGGGCGACGCTTGGGGACACGGACCTGCCGCTCGTCGGCTTGCAGATCGTACTCCTCGTGCATCCGCCGCAGCTCGTCCTCCAGCCGCGCACGCAGCTGCGCCAGCTCCAGCGCCTGGCGCTGTAGCGCTTCGGCCTCTTGCGCGCACAACCGCACCTCCTCCTCCGCTTCTCGCCGGCTCTCCTGGCCTCGCCGCAGCGCCTCCTCCAGCTCGCGCACCTCGTCCTCATACAGCTGCACCGTCTCCTGCCACGACTCGGCTACCAGCAGCGCGTAGCTGTCGTGCACCTCCCGCAGGCGCAGCTGGGGCGCGGCGGGGCCGACGGCGCGGGCTCGGTAGTGCATGGTCAGGGAGGCGGCGCGCTCGCGCAGCTCCCGCACGTCGCGTTGGTGGACGGCCTCCAGGTCGCGGCGCTCCGCCTGAAGCTGGCCCAGCAACGCCTCGAGGGCGGCTTGCGCACCGAGCGCCTCCTGCAGCTCGTGGTGCTGCGCGTGCAGCTCGGCGTCCAGGCGGCCGCGGGCGGCGCGCTCCTCCGCGCCCAGCCGCTGCAGCTCCCGCAGCTCCCGCCGCAGCGCGTCTCGCTCGCCCTCGGCCAGCGCCGTCTCCCAGCTCAGCGCGTCCAGCTGCGCTCGCAGGCCGCGCGCCTCCTCGGCGAAGCGCGCCTGGCCCTCGGCCCACAGACGCTCCTCGCCGCGCCGGCCGCGCAGCTGCGCCTCCAGCAGCTGGTTCTCGCGCTCCAGCTCCCGCACCCGGCTCACGTAGTCATAGAGCCGGGCGTTGAGCTCCTGCAGCTCGGCCTTCTCGGACCCCGTCTGCAGCCGCCACGACAGCATCTTGTGCGTGCGCGGGACTCTCTCTCCCGGCTGCCCGCTGCCCTCCTGCCCGGATCTTGTCCCCTTCGCCCCCCGCCCCGCCTCGCCTCTTCTCTCCTCTTCGGCCCGCTGTTGCCCCGGAGGCCCGCAGACTGCGCGGGCGCCGCGGAGCAGCCGCAATTAGCCGACTGGGCGGGAGGCTCGGGGCGCTGGCCGCGACCTCCAGCCAATCAGAGCGCGGCCCGGCGCGGCCTCTGCGGCCGGACAGCGCCGCCTGCCGGGATGGCCGCGAAGCTGCTGGGCGCGGCTGCTGGGGTACCTGCTGCGGGCGGCGGCTCGCAGGCTGGGCGGGCTCTGGGAAGGGTTTTGGGATGGACAACCGGCTGCTGCCCCTGGCGCGTACCCGAGGCACCGGAAAGTCCTGCTTTCGCGGATAAAAAAGAAGCTGGCTGTAAGAGACGTTCTGAGCAGCGGCGAACTGCGGTACTGTATTTGTGGCATAACTCTCATCGGAGGTGCTACATCTGGGGACTTTTCTATTTTTAAAATTTTGGAGAGGTGAGGAAATAGATCAGGGGTAGCGGACTTGCCTCGTATGCGCAGGGCCCTGGATTAGATCGCTAGCGCCACAGGAAGGAAGGTGGAAAAAGATAAATACATGTAAGATGCATTGCATCCACTTATCTGTACATATACTCACGTCTGTGGACGTTAGGATCTTTTTAAAAGTTTATTTTGCTATAGTACAAATAGATTTAATATACCATGGACCACGATCTTAAAAGAATGGCAAAAATGTTACTCAGAATACAAGCCAAAGACAAAAAAAGATTCTTTCTCATAAAGAAGAAACACTTCTTTGCAATGAACCAAACGAACTAGTGGTGTAAGTGAAACAAATCAGCTTAAACTTAAAATATTTTTGAACCAGTGGAACGGATAACTTGAGTTACTTGACTTTCTGTCTCTTTTAACCTAAAACATAGATACAGCTCCACTTGTGTACCTCTTTTTAGAGCATAAACTCTTCTTTCCATACAGGCTGATTCGAGTTCTATTTTCCTTTCTTCCTTACACAAACTACTCCCGAAACAGCATCTGTTTCTTTTTCTTTCTTTCTTTTTTTTTTTTTTTTTTTTTTTTTTTTTTGCATTTTTTTCTTAAAGAACTTAGAAACCTTTGGTTTTCTGCCTGTAACCCCACTATATACCTAGTCAGGCAGCCAGTTTTTTTTTCTTTTCTTTAATATTGTGCCCTTAAGAAAGCACTCAGTGTAACTGCTGTGGAAACCACGGCTCTTTTTGCACACTTGCATTGCACTACTTTTCATGAGTGGCTTAAGTTAGAGACGGCAGTCTCAGCAGTGAGAGGTCCAGGGAGGAACACAGCAGGCCCCAGCTGGGTGAGGATCAAGGTATCCAGGGGTAGCCTGGAGAGTCACCCACCGGCCACAGGACCAGTCTGTGGGTTTTATGCACAGCATGCAGGGTGAGTTGGGCAACACCATGCCCCAGGAAGGTCCCCTGAGAAAGCCTCCAAGGCTCCCCTTGTGTCAGGCCTGAGTCTCTTAACACAACAGAAGGAATTTTGCCCCACAGAGACCCCCCTCTGGGGGGTGGGAGTGTCTGTCTCCCCCATAACTCCCTCTCCCATCGGTGGCATGCAGGGGGAAGATGGGTGCATTAGCTGTGGGTCTGCTCTTCTCACCTTCGTCCTGGTGCATGTCAACACCTGACCATGGCTTGTCAAGTGCAGCAGTGACACTGTGCTGGTGGAGTCATCCAGGTTTATCCAGGGGTCCTCCTGGTATGAGTATCTCTCCTGAGCCACCTGGAGCATGGAGTCACTGCAGGGCGGCTCTTATAGTCATCTGGACTCAGTCACCACCACTGATGCCTAGTTCTTTGATCCCCCTGTGCTACCAGGGGTTCTCCAGTCCCCCTTCCCGACCCGAGGGGGTCCCCTATCGGGATGCTTAGCTCTGACTCACTAGGTAGTTTTTGCCTCATGCCTTCATGGTCTTAGATTTAAAACTGCACACCGCCCCTCACTTCTGCTTTAACCCATCCTGGAGGACATGACTGCAGCTTCCAGTTAGGAACTTCCAGTTAGGAATCCAAAGGCTCAGGAAATAGCAAGAGGCAAGAAATGCCATTGATTAATCTTCCAAAAGAATATCCTGCTGCATCGCACTTAACTTTTACAAAGCTAAGGTTAGAGGAGGTGAGTAACTCGCCTGAGGACAAACAGCTCTTACATTTGGGAGTAGAAGTTTTGACCCCAGAAGCAGACTAGAGCAGGCAGGGTCTGACCAGGAAACAGGAAACCCTCAAAAGTCAGGGAATGTCTGATGGGATGGAGGAGAGGGCTGCTCCCAAGGTGTGGGGTGCGGGGAGGAGCACAGGGACCAGCCAGAGTGGGAAGCCAACAAGCCTTCAGCACCGTAGGGTATTAGCTGAGCCCGGGGGACCCCGGAGCTGTGGAAGGCCCTGGAGGAAGAGGAGGAGGAGACCCCAACCTACTGACTTCCCGGCAGCACCTCCTGTGGAAGCCAGAAGCCTGGAGCCTGGAGCCTGGCAGCTGTGTGCTGGGGCGAGTGCCCACTGCTCCGTGCTCAAGGATTCTGCGGAACTCTTCTGAAACACAGCCATTATTAAAAATCACATGATAAAACTTACAGTTAATTTTAAAAAAAAAGAAATCAATATTCAAAACTTATCACGTCCTAATTTTTTCCATGTAGTCTTGTCTCCTCTTGAAGGTTTGTATGGCCAGCGTACCAGGGCAGTGCACATGCTGGTTCAGGTGTGACACTGACTCCGCATTCGCTGAAATCTTGTTGGCGATTTGAATAGTATACGCCATAGCAATCAGTAAATGAGTCATTGTTCATGGCTCAATTTATCACCTTACAGTTAGTCTACCCTTTAAAACTCGGTGGAGAATGTCAGCAATGCAGATTAGACTTGGTCCTGTGCGGTGCCTGTAAACCGAATAGAAAACTCCAGGGAACGTTTTTCAGCATTGCAAAACTACTATCCAGAGGCGTAAAAAAGTTAGTTGTTCCACCTCTCTCGATTGATAATGCAACCAAAAATATCTACCAACACTCACACTGTGTTACATTGCAACCCTAAAACAACAGACAACATCAGAGGTCCGTAAAAGCAGTGGAAACATTTTCCAAGAATAAGTTTGCTGTGTTGGATTTATGAGAAGGAGTATTGTATGCTTTATTGCTGCTTGCAATAAAAATTTGAAAGCTGCCTCACTGTTGCCACCCTAATAAGAAATATGTTTTATTGGTAACTTAATGGCAAAACATTCCTCTAATTGTCATTTCTTACTGACATTCATGTATAGTACGATGTATGTAGAGAGAGAGCTCTATCGATCTGTCTGTATCTTCATGGGAGTTGATAAAATCATTTTAATTCTGAATGAAATAAATTGGCTGCAAGTGTTTCCTTTCTAGAATTGGTGTAACACGAAACAAATTTCTCTGCCTCTGTGATAAGGCAACGGTTTAAATGATTTTCTTTTTTAACCACAGGCCCTCTTGGGCACGTTAAACCCTTTAAGGACCATCTAGTTACCTTTTCCAGTGTAGCTAGAACGCAGGAGTAGTGCAGGGACAACAGAATGGCAATTTAGCTTTGCTTACAGCCCTAGAAGAAACGTGAGCAGGCGTAAAAGGACCGGCCGTGGGGAGCTGCGCCGACCTCCCGGCAGGGGGCGCTCGAGCAGCACCCAGGAGGCATCCGGGACGGCTCGGGCCATGGCAGCCTCTGAGACCTTCCAGGAGGTGGCGCTGGGTGGGAAGCAGGGCGGGTCTGCAGCCTGCGTTTCACGGAAACCCGAGAAGCCTGAAGGCGTGCTTCTGGGTGCAGAAGTAGGACTAGAGGTCTTTTCCCTACTCGGGGTACCAGAGCCGTGCCCAAGCCCGGCAGGGCCCCAGGCACGTGGAATAATGTAGGGGGGCTCTTCTTCTCCGTGTCCTACACTCGGGCTCGTTCCTTCTGCTCAGTGCCTAAGGGAGGACTGAGTCAGGCATAAACCCAAAATGAACACGTCTCTGTGACTTCTGGAGTCCATCTTTCCAGGGGAGACCTGGCTCTCTTTCCAGGGCAAGGCTGCAAGAAACTGCAGGCTCCAGCAGCCAGTGTCCCTCTCCCCAGGGGCACCCTCTGGGTGACAGCAGGTCTCAGAGGAAGGGCTGTGCCTGGAACCCTTGCCAGGCACCCTCCCAGCGGGAGGGAGGCCCTGACCCACACCACACGGAAGTGGTAGTGGACTGTAGGTCCCAGGAGCCACCCAAAAAAGTCACGGCCTGCTCCAAGCTGCCCTTGTGCCCATCAAAGAATGATGCCCAGGCTGTCTAATGGCCCATGGTGTCCACTGTCCATCCTCTGCCTTAGTCAAAGACTCTTCCAAGAAGCCAGTGGAAGCCAGCACAGACAGATGACATGAGGACAGAGCAGGTTCCAGGTCCTCATACCCTGTCACTGTGTAAGTCCTCAGTGGTTGTGGTGCCACCCCAGGGAAGGGGGTCAGACTCCTGGATTGACAGAATTGAGATTTCATCACCCTAGTGGAAACAGGAGCTCAAATAGAAATTAGGCTGACCCAGAGAACACAGATCTCTCACTGCTCCTCATGCATCTGTGTTTGTCCTTTGGGGTATAAGTGTCCCCTTTAGGTTTGGCCGGGTAGGAAGTGAGACAAGCAGAAGAAAGGAAGTGACCAGCAGGAACTAACTGGGCACAGTCCCTGAGAGTGGGGTGAGCTACTTCGTGTCCCGAGGTACTGTGTCCTGCGGTGCTTTGTAACTGCAGGACGCTGGCCGTGACCACCCTGCCAGCCCTGTTCCCTTATCCGTGCAGAATGGCAGCGGACATCACTAGACAGCTTGTAAAAGTGTGATTGCTGGGATCCGCACACAGAGGATTTGGGTCAGTAGCCTGGGGTGGGGCTGATGCAGCTGGCCGGGACCACACAGAGCACAACTGGCTTGTGCCATCAGAGTTGGTCCTCCCATGTGCCAGGCACCATCTGGAACTCTTTGAGCAGATGAACTTGTGGTCAACACAACAGTCTACAAAGGAACTGTGATCAACTCTAAACCATGAGAAAACTGAGCCATGCAGCCA